GAAGTTGCCATCTTCAGGACCACCGTCTTCTCAGGTTTGCCCAGGAACGTATGAATTTTTTTTAAATGACCCGATCCAGTGGAACGTCTCTATTCAAAAAAACATAATTTTGTTGAGCAAATCCTCTTAATTGAGGAGATAAGGTTATTTTCTGGAAAACATATGTATGCACCTAGCGTTGCATTTTATCAAGCATGACAGATTGAGTGAAAATGATGATTAGTGGATGCTTCGATGGATGATTATCGCGTCGTTTGTGTTCGATACGATGCTTGTTGCATTAATGGTATTTGTATTCGGTATCAAGTCTACACATACACCGGTGTATTTGCAAATAAATGCAGTGTAGCCGCGAACATCCGTGAAAACACTTCCTTTCAGACGGTTCAAATCACCCGCTTCACCGAATTCTGAAAAGAATGGCGTCTTAACTGGGTTTAAGCAGAGAAGAATGCATTCGCAAGATCCATAAGATCATTCAGTGGGATTATCATGCAGTGAACTCGACAGTGTTTCAGGACTGCACAAATATCTGCAGTTACATCGATGATTATGTGCGAAAGAAGTGACAGCAACATTGATATTGCTGTAGGCTTTCAGTGAACATCAATGAGACAACTCCATTTCACTGTGGTAGCTGTAAGACGTTTTAAACTCTCAAATGAACATCGGTACCGTCTCTGTAGTCGAGTGCTATTTGTATCACACGACATTCAGTGCCAAATGAAGCAATACCGATGACGTACCGCCGACCAGTTCGGTCGCTGAACACCATACCGGCTCCACTGTCTCCCTGAAACGTCAGAGTATGACTGAAAGCAAATTTATAAGCTGAGAATCACTTGGAAGGCTCATAAACTCAGTATATATCTCAGACAGGAATGAACATTAATATTCTCGAGGTTGCAATCGAATTTCGAGCAAAACTAGTTGTGATCAACGTGGTGATCGTTTCCTCCCTTAGGTTATGTGGTGCTTCTGACATGATTTTACGATATGATAAAATGAAATCGTTAAAATCGTGAGGTGTTTATGACTCGGCATATGTTCTCGTCTTGGGATTCACTTGCACAAATGGCATTGACTTCAGCATCGGTAGGGCAAGCCATTGTTGTAATATTTATCATGCTCAGTGATGTTATGGATTTTGTGCGACTTGCTGCAATATATTGAGAAAATGTGCTATATCATAGTACAAATTAAGTTTGTAATGCAAAATTCAATGAGATGTATGGAAAAATTCGATGAGATGTGTGTAATTAGGGTGATCGAATTTTCTTTCAGCATCTGTTATCGTTAGTGATTCGATAGGAGATGCTTCATGGTACCAGCAAATGCGGTGATATTTTGTTTTTAGGTGACACTCAAATCTTGTAGCCTTATCATTTTGTTGTCAATTCGTTTTCATTTGAACATACCATCAGAGCCCCAAGCTGCAAGTACCGCTTTTTTTGGTATACGGTTCTTCACAGATGCCAAACACAGTGGTGTTGCGACCGCTGAAGGAAGTACCTGACAGATAGATTCTACTTTTTTTTTTCCAAGAATTTGCTATGGAAGTGGTAAGATACAGACATATGAAATATTCATACTTGCCACCATTGCAAGCTCTAGGTGGATACGGCAGTTTAAAAATATATTTCGATATCTACCTTCCGATGCAACACTCTAGAATCAACAAGGCACGAACAGTTTGAAGACAAGTTCAGACATCAGAAACCATTGGATGTTAATTTAGTATGATTGATAGATTGGAATATTCTGAGGGAATGATGATTGGGATTCGAAAATTTTGATTGTGAAATGTTTGTAAAACCTTTGCATCCAATTCGACAATCGCAATATCGCCTTGTTGACACGTCGAATGGAAAAATACTTCGGGAACGATGACCTGAATGAGATATTCTGTCAGTATCATTCAAATGATCAGTGGATCATATCGAAATTGCTTGCTGGCACTCTTCCATCCAATCCGAATATAACGCCGATTGCTTACACTTCTAATTCCGGCTACTTTTGCCTTTGTCTGACCACGTTCACATGGATCTTCAGCGAACGGAAGACACTCGCCACTGTGATAGACTGTCCATGATCCCAGCCAAGTGTCATGTTCTTTCGGCCTGAAAATCTAAATCTCCTACAGTTTGATCATGAATGTAAAATTTTTTTACAGTACTGTTCGAGCCTCATGCCTGATTTTGAGAAGCGAGTTGTAAACGATAGTCAGATTCTTCTGATGTCTCATTATTCGAACAGGACAAGGCATTCAATAAACACGATCAGCTCACGTTAGCGTCTGATTGGCACAAATTTCGGGATAGAAGCAATGTGCTGCGGTCAGTACATGGTGTTGTGAGATGAGTGTTCCACCGCAATCAGTGTCGAATCCTGAAATGTGCTCTAACGTAAAATGATCCATTAGCTGCTTGAAACAGCTCAATGTTTTGCTCAATGTGATCGAACCACGATGAGCAAAACATAGTGAATTCAAGAGATCATCAGGAGTGATTGTGTTCCAGTCGATATTATCTCGACTCAAGATGTTCCACTTGAAAGCTAATATCCACCTGGATACTCAGTGTGCAGATGAACAGCCCAGGCTGCTTTGGAATTACTGACCAAACGACCATGCATAGCCAATGGTATTGACTTCGTAGAGAATTTTTCATCAGGAAATACTGCAAGCTTTTTTTGGAGTTTGATATTTTCAAAATTTATCAATTGAATTATATTGCATAAAATGGTTCTTTTAATAAAGACCTTTGAATACCACAAGTTTAGATTTCTTTCAACTGATCAGTTTCGTTTTATTTGTAATACGAATAAGTGAGTAGCATGCAAATTTGACTATCGTATCCATGAAACAACCACGAAACTTAGCAAATCACCTCCACATTGCTTCATTAGAGTTTCCATTTGTTCAAATGATAATCGTAGCGGTTCGAAAGCAGCTACAAGCGATCCAATTTGAGTGATCAATACAATAACTCGTAGGGCATTCATCATTTTCAATTCACACTTCCCAAATTTACCTCAAAATTTTCATACTGGTAAGCAAAATATCATGATGGCGATGATTTCGAGAAACAAAACGTTTGTTGAGGATTCATGAGTGTACGAAGATACATGCACCGATAACTGCAGATCAAATGGAGGTTATTTGGATCATATGAGATCAACGCCTTCAATAGACAAATCTTATTGTTAGTAATGTTCCGAATGAACTGGTTTTTGGTATTTCGAAAACAACTGCATCTGCCCTTCTGAGGGTCTCTCCATGATTTCAGATTCAGTCTTTTGACCATTTTACATCTATCGACTGCCTTCTGCAATCTTTTGAAAGCTTTAGAATTTTGTTTGCTGACTTCGCAAAATAGTTCACGCAAAAAGAATATTTTTATTTCAATATAGTCAGTTGCTTGAAACGGAGCGAGCGATACGGAAAAATGATGAAAAATGACGCTTATGCCTAATCAAAAATCATTTCAGCTCTCATTATTTCGATCATTTCATTACTTTGGTCTATGACAGAACTATATGCGATCTCAGTTGAAGTCTTGTCAAGAAATCTGCTACAACTTCTTGCCTAATGAACCACTCGTCAATTGTGTTGAACATAGCAGTTTTCCTTAATGAATCCCAACCAAAGACCTCAATGCTGCTGGTAATGATTCGTGAATAATCGTAACGATGAACGGGTATTAAACTGGCGATTTTATTCGTTGATATCCATTACAAATGAGTGTAATTATGAGTAACACATCAATAATCACTTCAAATAAAGTCCTAACACAACTAAATAGTGTTAATCATATGCGTATCCGTTACAATACATCAAGAAACGAAACTGGAGGGTATTACATGTGAAGTATTTGAGTTAGTCTTTCTGAACGCAACAATTTCATGCATTGATGAATATTCATATGAAGGAATATTATTGCTAGCAACGGATTTTCTAAACAATGATGAATATATAAGACTATATGAGTTACATTAATAACAAATAAGTTCTAACCAATTAAGAACTAACTGTATTACTGAGATAAGATAAAGGTAAGTAAATTAGTAATCAACATGAACATTTATACATTTGATCATCTATATGAGAGTAATTGTAAATGAGACATAAATGTACGTCTCTCATTTACCATAGGCTACCAGCTAATTTTGTACAATACAATACAACATTTGGTTCAATCAATTCTTCAAATGTACACACGTCTATAAATCGAGAAATATGATTTAAAAATTGTATTTGAATGACACAAAATGACATGAATAAATCAACTTCGTCGTGTTCTATTTTTTCGTACACACTTCGAAAGATATCATTTTCTCAGCAATTAACATCTCTTTTCCGTACTCTCCAACGAAACGCTGAATTTCTATGGAAGCAGCAAACGGAAATTCTCAAATTATCACATACATACAGAGACAGGCAGCAATCCACGCCATATCGTTTTAGCCATGAAAATGATCTCAAACTGAATTCACACAATAAATGTTTCGGAACTGCGAAACACGGCAAAGTGTTCATGTCATAAAATATGCACGAATATATTAGAATACACAAAAAAAGAAATCACAATTCAACAAAAACAATATACATCCCAAAAATAAGTAATACACCACAGTTTTCATCTAGTTTCACTACACGACTCATACCAAATTAGAAATATAAATCATTTTACATCAGCTGCTCATCCCAGCCATCTGGCTGGGCGAAACTTTTGACTCGACTAAAGAGAAGTGGTGGAAATAGTTGATGATCAGCAACATCCAACGAACTCTCTGAGATCTGACCATTCAGGTAACGGAATGAACATTCATATTTCTCCCACTGTAGAACACAATGCGCTGAACGCCGCTTACCGTCGCCGAATCTCAACTCCAGATTGAACTCTTGAACTGATACCTGCAATTGAATGAAACTCATTCACTTTGATGACTGAACGATATTCTCACGCATGCAATAATCAATTTGTTATTTTGCTATACACTGACGATACGGAATAAAATGCGTTAGATGATGTGAAAATTTCGTTCACCTTATATTACTGCATCATATCTAGTGACTATCAATCACTGAAGATTCTAAAAAATATGAACTAAATCAGGAAATGCAGAATAGATAATCTCCAACACACCTCATGCGGTATGTAAGCTTGACGGATTCGTTGGATACGACGTGATCGTTGCTCAGATTTTTCACAGCGACGAACAAACTGAAAACAAAAACTAATCTGCAACCTCAGACGTGACAAAACGTTGCAAATTTTCAACGACTATCACACAATTTCAGCAGCATCCATTAAAACTCCGAGATGCCTTCACATTCCTCACATCGGCACCCACTAAATCATAAGAAAGCACAGATTCTATGTGTGCAAATGTACAAAACAAACCTGTGCGGCTATCATGTCTTGCCCGACCAATCGATATCGTCCAAATATTACTCCGCTCAACCGTGTTGATTTCGATTTCAGTTGACTGACAATCTGTGCTGGCTTCTCGGATGATGTCACCATTAGCACGGTGCCTGGAAATGTTGAAAAAAAATGAATAGCACTACGGATCCAATATTCAAAAACTGAAATCACTCAAAAACAAATGATTTCCATCATCATTTGTGAACGTTCAGTTCATGAACATGACAATTTCAACGCAAAATCGTCGCACACAAAACAGAAACAGCGAAATGTAACGTACCATCGGCGAAGAACTTCATGAAGCGATAATATGCGACAATATGCCATGGTCTATAGAATTTATCCTGAAAAATGAAAAGAATGTACTAAGTAAATTTCAAACCTTCACCACTCCTCTCCAGAACAACGACATTAAAAAAATCTCTGAACGCAAGAAAAGTAGAATGACAGGCAATAAGAATGCCTACTTGGAAAGACGCTTCTCCATGTCTGATGTAAGTGCATTTTCCGATATAAACACCGTGAAAGTAGACGTGTGGCTGTGAGATGAACATTTGACGCCAACAACCGAACAGTTCCGATTCAGTCAAATACGACGTCAAACGATGCTCTCCAAACACTCGCAAACAGATCAGTCTCCATAACTCTTCATCCCTTCAACAATTAAAATCATCCACTTGATTTTAAAACTTAAAAGTCTCAACGTTCAACCTTCAAAATTAAAAATCTCAACCTTCAATCTTACCCATTAAATTATAAAATCTTCTGGTTTCTTAAACACTTTTTCAACGCTCCAACCACTATTCTCCATTTAAACAAAACCAATTCAAAATCAAACAAAGCTACCTCGAAAGAAGATAGAAGGCGGCAGACGTCATCGATAACATTTCAATGCAACGAACGTCTAGTTCACTGCCGATAACGTACTTCATGACGGTCAACAACAGCTCGGATGGTAGCAAAGCGAATGGACAAACAGTACCTGCAAATCAATTCTATGCTGAACGTCAAAATATGGATGGCAATGTGCTTCTTTGTTGAACATTATTGTTTAGTGAAGAACGCAAAACGCAACAATGATTTCATTGGAGAAACAATAAGAGATATCCGCAGAAATCGTCGTAGAACACTTCGCTTATATTCGAATTTGAAGTTCAAACTGAAAAAATCTCGGTACCAAAACCTTTTCTGATCTCCGATTCAAATTTCTGATATGACCATTCAACTTTTAGCAACTTTCATTAACACTAAACCTAACGGATCGTGCATTTCCTCAACGGAGCAACCCAAAATTGAATAAAACAAAATATTCTACCGCTTATATCCGCTTCAATCATCGTGCCTCTGTCAGCAATTCGCTTCTTGAGGGTACCCTCAAGGTCTGCGTCTTCTTCGTCGCTCTCCCGATCTTCACCGTTCAAAGCGGCTGATCGTGAACGGGAGCGAACACGACCCGGGACGGTACTGCCTCCTCTCGCATCAGGACTATTCTAAAGCTCAGAACACCTCTTAAACTCATATTCAGTTCCTCCGAAGTTCAGATACATAGATCACTGTTAACGTTTTCTAAAGGCATAGACAGATGTGTCCATTCAGAATCACGCTTCGTGACTTTATTCATACTCTGAGCTTAACATCAACAGACGATCTCCAAATTATGTAAATATCAACCAACAGCCATTCATTTCTGCAATGGCATGAAATTCGTAGTAATCTAAACATTAGTTTTCATTCCTGAACAATTCCTGCAATGGGAAAACTAAGACATCATAAATATGGAATCAAAAATACCGTGTTGCTTGTGCGTGAATGACGATTTTTGAAGATTTGAAATTCAATATCTGGTACCAATCTGACCGCAGCCATGTAACGATGCACAGCATCACTAACCTCACCACGTCGTTCCAGTTCAGCGCCCTCCAGGAATAGCGTTGAAGCCTGAAGAAATTCATTCTCACTGAATATCTCCCAAAAGCCAAACAGATAAATTTTCCGCTATTGGACATTCTATTGAATGTATACATTGAGAAAGGAAAAAAAGAAAATTTTCACAATTCTGAAGCAATATTCATAAGTGCCACTTCAATTCCATTTGAAAAATTGAGTATCATACTCTACAAAGGTTTCATTCAGAAATTATATCGTTCAGTTTTGTGACAGAAAGACTACGTATGGATGGAATTTATACCTTCTCATATTTAACGACTTCCGAAAGTGTTTTAGTGTGTTTTTGGGATGGAAGACTGCCCGATTGAGGTGATTCTTTTGGCTTCACCAACTTATTTTTTGAGGTCAGCTCTACTTTCCATTCATGTCTAGAACGGTTTAGCAATCATTTTCAAACAGAAATTTTTTAAATGAGAAATATGCATTATTTGATATATATCACAAATCATCACCAAGAAATAAGTGGACTCAGCTCAACAAACGAAAAAAATCAACTGATCCAATGTCAAAAATTTACTGATACAAATAAAAGATGTTTGAAAACTAGCTGACTACCTGAACGACTCGAGTGTAGTCTCTGGATCTGGCAGTTGTTGGGATGGAACATTATTCTCTGCTACTGCAAGGTTGCTATTATCTACTTGGTCATCTGACTGTTTTGATTCGTCTTCAAACAATGGAATTAATTTGTTCTGAAACAAACGATTTGTCAACCTCAATTCTGACAGCAACTTGACAAGCTCATTGGAGAACTGCACATGAACGCGTGATTTAGAACCTCAACTAGAAATCGAAAACAGATCCTAGGAATCGAATCAGAAAGAAATGAATGAATAAGTGAAATGAAAAGATTACCGATGACTCTGCATCTTCGCCATCCTCCTCCTCAGATTCCTCTTCTTCCTTCAAAATCTTAAGACGGTGTAGTCTCCTTTCCAGCGGCATAAGACAAAAACAAACTGCAATGCGATCGATGAAGATATAAACGTACACAAAACAACAAATCCATGGAAACACAAATCAATCTGCATAACAGAGTCGTTTGTGTTACTGACATTTAAGTAAAAGCAAATTTGATTTCCCGCAGAGGATGGGAAATCTTGACCGAAACGGAGTTTTTTAATGCATCAATAAACTAGAATCCGCTCAAACAATTATTTAACAAGCAAAAGCATTAATTGATTTCAACTGCTTCTTACATAACCGCGAAGCAGCTGTAGTCTTTAGATCGTTGACAAATTGTGAAAAATTCAATGAATTCAACCGAATCTCTTGGGTGCGGAAGTTGAATATAATATCTGAGAATTGCTACTGACCAGTGAGTGATAAAATCTGACCACTCAACTCAGAGCGGCTAAGGAAAAAAGCAACGTGAATGTGATGTGATCTCTGATATCCATCCAACTCATCTCTAATATCAACAAGCAACGCATGCAAATGTAAAGTTCGACTGCCACATTGATCGTTATAAATTTACTTATGCCTCAGATCGTAGCTCTTTCTCGATTCAGTCAGACGAATCCGAGCCATCTGGAAAGACGTGAAACGTGGATTTTGTGCACATACAACTATACACAGACATTATCTCGAGCTCCAGCTCTTAGAATCTCTTTAGAATTTGTTCGGAGTATAGGATAGGTCTGCTTGTCATCTCTTAGAATTAATTACCTGCATCTCATCTTACAATTAGAATTAATTATCTAATTTCCTTCGTTAAGTTGCTTCACTTTGCGGAATGCAGAATTTGAACAGAATTCATACAAGCATATAAAAGATTCAGATGCCACAGAGCGCAGGCGACATTACATACGTGAAATGGCATTGGAATTGAGAGAGAGCACTGGTCAGACAGACACACGAGAGTTCATCTCTTTGGCATTTAGCCTACAAGCGACATTTTACGTGTGTGATAAAAGTTTTTAATCCGCGATATCGCCCTTTTTATGAAGATACTTGCGATTATCGCTGATATCTCTGAGATATTCGAATAATCAATTGTGCAATACTCCTCTGTTATGATTACAGTGGTTACAATTCATTATTATAGCGAATTTGGCATTCTTCAAAGTCAAAATGGACAATTTTTACGCGGTTTTCTATTCTGTTTTTCAATTGCACTTAAATTTTCGTCGAATTTCTTCAGAATTTCTTCGAAACCAATAGATTTTTGGAATCATTGAACTGTTTTGCAATCAGTAAATTGCTGAGATTGTTATGAATTTGAGATGTCGTTGTGATGAATGTGAGTTGATCGTGATTTCGCACATTTCATGCACGATTGAGAAACAGCAATAGAGCAAATTGTTACGTGATCATCGACATTATCACATGCTGCATTTTATAACGGAAAGAATCATTGTTAGGGATACCCTTATACGTTGCGAGATAATTTTTACTTATTATATCATGAGCAATGTCTTGAGTGCTTACAGCAAATGTAAAGATTATCCAAGCTATTGTATATTAACGCAATGAATCGCTATTTCCTTTGGAAACGTGACACGAAAACGATTTCGTTTGTTATCGATAACACGAGACTTATTCCATCACGCTACTATAATTCAGGCCAACGTCGCGGGTCAAATCGAAATATGGACTCTGCATAAAGGAGACGATTGAAAGGAAGACGGACGATATCAACGATGGAGCGGAATCAACATCAACGTCGGCAAATCGGCTGTCAACAGATGTCACAGACAGAAAGCTAAGTTTTTTCTCTCGATTTTTCAATCTTCACTAGAGGGTTAGTAGTGGACGGGGGTAGTGAGCTTCTGTTCAGGGCGGGTAAGTGAGGGAGGGAGGGAATTTCTGGCCCGGGGATTTCGTTACAGTGGTGGTCTGTTGCTTTGTAGTTAAGTATTTGCTCCTTCCCGCCACTACCTGGTAAAGCATGACTGGGGTATTTTGTAGTGGCTTAGTTTAGGTATTAGGTTCGAGCATTGATCTGGTAGAAGGGCCTTTGTTAGTATATCACCCTTCTGGTGTTACGTGAAACAAAACGTCTCAACTTTTTTCGCCCGCACCCATAAATACGAATCAGATTCAATGATAATTTAATGAACGTAAAGAATATTTTAAAATTTTTTGAGGGGTGCGGGCGAAAAAAGTTGAGAACCAGTGCGGTAAGCTGAAGCTGGCGTTGCTGGTAACAGGAAAATTGTAACTACAATAAGAAAATATCAAATAAATTTGATTTTATGAAACATTATTCGATATGATTTGACGAGGAATTATGTATAATTTACCAACACCGTGAAATGATAAGATGTGAAATCTTACATTAAAAATCGGATAATTTCATGGCAGATAACCAATAGAAAATTATACCTTTGGGTATACTTCATCAGAAATATGGTTGATAAAAGCCTTAAAAAGCGCCAGTTCTCTAAAAAGTGAAAAAACAAGAAAAAATGAAAAAGCATTCAAGAAAATGTAGGGGTGGATTAAATGTATACAAGTTTTTTTGTATATCATATCGACTCTTTGAGATCTGCTCATAAAAGTTTTTCAAGCAAACCATTTTGGCCATGTTTCGAGCATTCGAGCCCATTTTAAATGTTCATTGCTGGACATACGGGCACATTTCATTGTTATAAAGGAGTCATAGGGCGATTCGCATGCCAGCTCCTGCGCCGGGAATGAGAATTGTTTGAAATATTCAAACAATTGGTTGCTTGAAATTAGGTTAAGGCGATANTAGTTACTGTTATCATATGGCAAAAGCCGAACTTGGCCATTATAGAATGCTTGAAAAATTTGAAAGAGATAATTTCAAAAAGCTAGTTGGGAAATGATTTTTAAAATAATTTATTTTCGAACACCTTAACAAAGTTCGCCGATAATCAGAAGAATTATTAATGAAATGGAAAATTATTTAGAGAACTGGCCTTTTACAAAATCCATCTGATCGCTATCCTCTAAAAAATTAATTTGTTCATCCACATTGAGATCTCTTTGGGCCCCTTGGTGATGGGATTTCACATCTGCAAACATAAATTATGATTTAAAAAAACGTTTAATAGTATTGTAACAAACCAGCAACGCCAGCTTCATACTAACTCTACGAAGATTGTTGGTAAGAAAAAGAGTTAAACAGGCATAAGAGTTGATTAACACCAGAAGGGTGATTGTGTGTTGAAAGGTCCTTCTATCAGGTCAATGTTCCTTCCTAGTACTTACACTAGGTGGCCACAAGGTACCCCAGCTCAGCTTACAGGGAGTGGGGCTGGTGCGGAGGTCTTATTTGTTATTTCTTATTGTTATATTATGGTATCCACCACTTCCTAATCCAGGGGGGCAAAATTCACTTAACTCCTCTGGACAGAAGCTCAAATGGGTAACATTAGCTCACGGGTGACTGAGTTTAGAGGGAATAACGGGGATAAGTTTAGCGGACTGGGTGGGATTTAGCCTGAGATAGGTTAGTGTAGCTTAGCTCGCATAACATGAATACTAAGTATAGATCCAGTTGATACTGCAGAATAAATTTTCAGGTGATAAATAGTTCAAAAACTGGATGACGGTGCAAACTGGACGACGCGAGCATGATGGTGCACAATGAATGCAATACGGTAAATGAACGAGGATGGGGAAAGAAGACTTCGGGAATTTTGTGATGACATGTTGTGATATTATTTAATTTAATGACATATTTGTGACAGCAATTTTCGTGAAACCCTCATTACTCTCTGCGAAGAGTGTGAGGGGTGAATAAAGATTAACGTGTTGTTAAATTCTGACGAAAGAGCTCTTTATAGCTCTTTCGTGTGATGCCTTTCGATTGGGACAGAGCTAGGTGAGGTGCCCTTTTCTGTGTTTGAGGTTTGAGGATTTTGGTAAGGTTCTAAATAACTGAAAAATTTTGTGCTTGAGGTTTGAAGACTTTGGTAGGGTTCTGAATAGTTAAAATTCTCTTCAACATGTACGCACCTCACCTCTCTGGCATCGGTAGCAATCTGCCAGCTGCTCCACTTTGTGGTGTCAGTCGTCGGCAGTTGCAAGCCGAACCCAATCAAGAGGTATCAAGGCCAACTGTTTCGCGAAACGGAGATCGGGACCCGTCTAGCGAAACAGTTCGGCCTTTTTTCCCCCCGTCTGAAAATGAAAATGAGAGGTGTCCGTGACGCTCGCTGCCGCAAAATTTGAAAATCGCGCCTTTTTTGAGCACACCAGAAAAGTCAAGAGGTTCACATTGCGAACCGAACTTTGTCGATGCTTACTGCAGAGGATGCGTTTTCCTCCTCTGAACAGTTCATTGGCTTCGTTTTTCTTGTCGAAAGTTGATAATTCAAATATCTCATCTTGCTACATCACAACTAGTGATGTTTGTGCGAGTTCTCTTCAATGCTAAAGGGAACTATGCTAGTTCTCCTTTGCATTGAAGAGAACT